CAGATAAACTGATATTTGGCTCTAATAATGAGGACGCCATGCCAGCTGCACCGTAAAGCCAAGTGCTGGTGTCCCCGACGGGAACGAAAGGCGGGATGCAGCCGCCTCCGTAACCCTCAGGCCTTCATTGTTCCCAGGGATCGGTGTGTAGGTGTGGGGAGAAAGTGTGCACTGTGCCAAATCATTCTCATTTTCACAGCTACTGACTTCAGACGAATGCTAACGTTTTGAAAAATGCTAATAAAGCGTTTAGCATTTTACTTTGGACCAGAGCAGAGAAAATGGTCAGAACCAAGCGGCTACTCCACCTTGTGACCTGTCCTGCTCCACCCAGAGGCTACTCCACCTCTGCTGCTGTGAGCCGTCCTGCTCCACCCAGAGACTACTCCACCTCTGCTGCTGTGACCCGCCCTGCTCCACCCAGAGGCTACTCCACCTCTGCTGTTGTGACCTGTCCTGCTCCACCCAGAGGCTACTCCACCTCTGCTGCTGTGACCTGTCCTGCTCCACCCAGAGGCTACTCCACCTCTGCTGCTGTGACCCGTCCTGCTCCACCCAGAGGCTACTCCACCTCTGCTGCTGTGACCTGTCCTGCTCCACCCAGAGGCTACTCCACCTCTGCTGCTGTGACCTGTCCTACTCCACCCAGAGGCTACTCCACCTCTGCTGCTCTGACCTGTCCTGCTCCACCCAGAGGCTACTCCACCTCTGCTGCTGTGACCTGTCCTACTCCACCCAGAGACTACTCCACCTCTGCTGCTGTGACCCGTCCTGCTCCACCCAGAGGCTACTCCACCTCTGCTGCTGTGACCCGTCCTGCTCCACCCAGAGGCTACTCCACCTCTGCTGTTGTGACCTGTCCTGCTCCACCCAGAGGCTACTCCACCTCTGCTGCTGTGACCTGTCCTGCTCCACCCAGAGGCTACTCCACCTCTGCTGCTGTGACCCGTCCTGCTCCACCCAGAGGCTACTCCACCTCTGCTGCTGTGACCTGTCCTGCTCCACCCAGAGGCTACTCCACCTCTGCTGCTGTGACCTGTCCTACTCCACCCAGAGGCTACTCCACCTCTGCTGCTCTGACCTGTCCTGCTCCACCCAGAGGCTACTCCACCTCTGCTGCTGTGACCCGTCCTGCTCCACCCAGAGGCTACTCCACCTCTGCTGCTGTGACCCGTCCTGCTCCACCCAGAGGCTACTCCACCTCTGCTGCTGTGACCCGTCCTGCTCCACCCAGAGGCTACTCCACCTCTGCTGCTCTGACCTGTCCTGCTCCACCCAGAGGCTACTCCACCTCTGCTGCTGTGACCCGTCCTGCTCCACCCAGAGGCTACTCCACCTCTGCTGCTGTGACCCGTCCTGCTCCACCCAGAGGCTACTCCACCTCTGCTGCTGTGACCCGTCCTGCTCCACCCAGAGGCTACTCCACCTCTGCTGCTGTGACCAGTCCTGCTCCACCCAGAGGCTACTCCACCTCTGCTGCTGTGACCCGTCCTGCTCCACCCAGAGGCTACTCCACCTCTGCTGCTGTGACCCGTCCTGCTCCACCCAGAGGCTACTCCACCTCTGCTGTTGTGACCTGTCCTGCTCCACCCAGAGGCTACTCCACCTCTGCTGCTGTGACCTGTCCTGCTCCACCCAGAGGCTACTCCACCTCTGCTGCTCTGACCTGTCCTGCTCCACCCAGAGGCTACTCCACCTCTGCTGCTGTGACCCGTCCTGCTCCACCCAGAGGCTACTCCACCTCTGCTGCTGTGACCAGTCCTGCTCCACCCAGAGGCTACTCCACCTCTGCTGCTGTGACCCGTCCTGCTCCACCCAGAGGCTACTCCACCTCTGCTGCTGTGACCCGTCCTGCTCCACCCAGAGGCTACTCCACCTCTGCTGTTGTGACCTGTCCTGCTCCACCCAGAGGCTACTCCACCTCTGCTGCTGTGACCTGTCCTGCTCCACCCAGAGGCTACTCCACCTCTGCTGCTGTGACCCGTCCTGCTCCACCCAGAGGCTACTCCACCTCTGCTGCTGTGACCTGTCCTGCTCCACCCAGAGGCTACTCCACCTCTGCTGCTGTGACCTGTCCTACTCCACCCAGAGGCTACTCCACCTCTGCTGCTCTGACCTGTCCTGCTCCACCCAGAGGCTACTCCACCTCTGCTGCTGTGACCCGTCCTGCTCCACCCAGAGGCTACTCCACCTCTGCTGCTGTGACCCGTCCTGCTCCACCCAGAGGCTACTCCACCTCTGCTGCTCTGACCTGTCCTACTCCACCCAGAGGCTACTCCACCTCTGCTGCTGTGACCCGTCCTGCTCCACCCAGAGGCTACTCCACCTCTGCTGCTGTGACCTGTCCTGCTCCACCCAGAGGCTACTCCACCTCTGCTGCTGTGACCTGTCCTGCTCCACCCAGAGGCTACTCCACCTCTGCTGCTGTGACCCGTCCTGCTCCACCCAGAGGCTACTCCACCTCTGCTGCTGTGACCTGAGGCTGTTGCTTATTAATACTATTTTAGTTTTTTAGAATGATCCATTTTATTTTTTATTTTTGCTGCTACTGGACACCTGAATTTCTGTCTGTCTCTGTCTCCTTCTACTTTTAGTCAACAATGTCTCTCAGAGGAGCCGGCCTACACCAACAGCAAATCATAATACCTAACCTTGAGTCCTAAAAACAAAAACTGTAACAAAACTTGAGCAAAAATCGTGCACAAGCTGTTTCTGGGCTCGCACCGACGCAGCGTTTAGTAAGCAGTTCACACACAGGAATAATTAAATGGAGAGCTGGATAATGAATCATTAGTGTAAGCCTGACTGACTAGCATTGTGCTGCACGTGCACTTTTGCTCCCAAACAGACAAAGGAAGGTTGGGCAGGAAGGGAATCTCATCGGGACAAAGTTGGAAAATGTTTTGTGTATTTGGGATAATAACATAATTACAACAAGTATCACAATCATGGCTCTGGTCATTTCTATAACGCCTTTTTTACGACAATCGGTTTAAAGGAGCCCAATGTAACTGTCCCATAGGCATACACTGCGTGCAGAATTATCAGGCAAGTTTTATTTTTGAGGATTTATTCAATTATTGAACTACAAGAGTGCTTTTGATCAATGCAAAATGATACATCCCAAACGTGGATATTCCAAAAAGTAAAAGTGAGTTGTGCCAATCATAAAAATACAAAAAATATATATCTGTGTGTTCACAATTATTGGTGTGCACAATTATTATGCAGCTCAATGAAAATCAAAGTTATCTCAACTCATCTATTCATTTTCATTTGTTTAAGTAATGATAATAATAAAACAACTCCTAATGTACAAAAATACTGCTAAAGTTTTAACAACAGAACATCAGTGGCCAATATAGCCACCCTTATTTTCAATAACACTCAAAAGCCGGCCATCCATGGAGTCCGTCAGTTTCTTGATCTGTTGACGATCAACTTTTTGTGCCGTAACAACCAACGCCTCCCAGACACTCTTCAGAGAGGTGTACTGCTTTCCTTCCCTGTAAAGGTCTCGTTTAATAAGGGCCCACAAGTTCTCAACTGGGTTAAGGTCAGGTGAGCAAGGGGGCCATGTCATAATTTTTCCTTCTTTTAGGCCTTTACTGGCTAGCCAAGCAGTGGAGTATTTGGATGCATGAGATGGAGCATTGTCCTGCATGAAAATCATGGTCTTTTTGAATGATGCAGGCTTTCTCCTGTACCACTGCTTGAAAAAAGTTCCTTCTAGAAACTGACAGTAAGTTTGGGAGTTGAGTTTTAGTCCATCTTCAACCCTAAATGGCCCAACCAGCTCATCTTTAATAATACCAGCCCACACCAGTACTCCACCTCCACCTTGCTGGCGCCTGAGCCGGAGTGGGGCTCTCTGCCCATGACTGATCCAAACACGGGCCCATCCATCCGGTCCATCAAGAGTCACTCTCATCTCATCAGTCCATAAAACATTTGAAAAATCTGTCTTCAGATATTTCTTGGCCCAGTCTTGACGCTTTATCTCATGTGTCTTATTCAGTGGGGGTCTTTTTTCAGCCTTTCTTACCTTGGTCATGTCTCTGAGTACTTTGTACTTCTGGACATCCCAGGTAGGTTACAGTTCTGGATATGACTGCACTGGAGGATAATGGGTTCCTAGTAGCCTCACGCTTGATTCTCCTCATATCTTTTGCTGTTACTTTGCATCTTTTTGTCTCAACACGTTTCTTGCGTCCTTGTTGGGAATTTGCAACAAAGCGTTTCATGGTCCTATGATCACGGCTCAAGATCTTGGAAATTTCAGGAGTGCTGCATCCCTCTGCAAGACATTTGACAATTTTGGACTTTTCAGAGTCTGTGAGATCTCTCTTCTGGCCCATTTTGCCTGAGAAAAAGAAGCTGCCTAATAATTGTGCACACCTGATGTAGAATTTTGATCTCCTTAGGCCACGCCCTTACTCATGCTTAAAATGCACTTCACCTGGTATGCTTAAAATCGATTGGCATTCAAGATTATACAGATTAGAGCTTGACAATATGTATAGAATGGACAATGTCATCGAAATACTGACTCGCCTAATAATTCTGCACACACTGTACATTTCATGTTCCACAGAATGAATTAATTCATTGCGTTTTCATAATTCATTTTCTTACTTGGGTTAATTTATCAGCTCATAAACAGTATTTCACAGATCAGCAATCACAATGATGCTGTACTTTCCGCTAAGAAAAACTGACGTCTTTAAACACAATAATAATGAATGGTAGAAGAATCTTCTTTGAACTTGTTGGATGGATTTTATAACTAGATTCAAACAATACAAGATTCAAGAATTTATTTGCCATTTGCAGTAAAACCACATTGGAAAAAAGTGTGCAATACTATTCCCACAGTACATTAAAAAGGGGAAGATAAAGTCCCTCAGTTGTTTGCGCAGCTAAACACAACCTGGATTTGAACATTGTCAGAGAAGAAGCCTGTCTCACATTTTCAGGAAGACTGTTCAGATTTTGGCAGCATGAATCTGAAATGCTGCCCCCCAATGTTTAGTCCTGACTCTGGGACCAGCAGGAGGCCAGTCCCTGTGCTCCTCAGAGTCCCAGCAGGAGGCCAGTCCCTGTGCTCCTCAGAGTCCCAGCAGGAGGCCAGTCCCTGTGCTCCTCAGAGTCCCAGCAGGAGGCCAGTCCCTGTGCTCCTCAGAGTCCCAGCAGGAGACCAGTCCCTGTGCTCCTCAGAGTCCCAGCAGGAGGCCAGTCCCTGTGCTCCTCAGAGTCCCAGCAGGAGGCCAGTCCCTGTGCTCCTCAGAGTCCCAGCAGGAGACCAGTCCCTGTGCTCCTCAGAGTCCCAGCAGGAGTCCAGTCCCTGTGCTCCTCAGAGTCCCAGCAGGAGAGGCCAGTCCCTGTGCTCCTCAGAGTCCCAGCAGGAGTCCAGTCCCTGTGCTCCTCAGTGTTCGAGTTGGTACAAATGGCACTAACATGTCTTGAATGTAGATTGGGGCGAGGCCATGGAGAAACTTAAATTCGATCAGAGCTTCTTTGAAATCTATCCTTTTCTCCACTTTGTTCCTTTTTTTGTGCGATTTGAAAGAAAGAAACTTCTACTTCAAGCATCAAAAACATAGATTATTATTTGCAGCAGTGTTGTCGCTAACAACGCAGAATTGTAAATGTGTTGTTGTGGTGAATATTTTAACCTTTGCTAGCCCCAGTCTAAAACTTTGAGACAGGCCTATACTTCGGTTGATTATATGTGACGGACCGAACTCATCCAATGCCCTTTTGAAACTAGAGTGGATTGTCTCGGATGTGGCGGTGGAAGACGGTGTGCCGTGGGATTGGATTAGCTGCCACTTTCACTGGGATTGCACCGATGCTGCTTTGCCTCAGTGACTTTGTCCTACAAGCTTCCACTTACTCAGCGACCCTCGAGCCTGGACACACTCCTCACCGGACTAACTCTAATTACTGCATATTTAACCTTGGTGCGGTTCTTCTGTTCCCAGGGTTCTTAAATGATCTCACTCTGATGGTCCTGTTTTAGCTGTATGGAACTGATCTGGACTCATACCAAATATGAACTATTATAGGGGAGAAAAAGAACATGGCAATAAATTAGCCTTGATATTTTTCCGACACATGATCTAACTTTTTCATGTCTGATACCAATCTTCTTTCTTTGGCTTTTGAAATCTGCTGTTAGCTGCTATGAAGTGCCAAAATGTCATTGTGTCCTTAGGCAAGACACTTCCCCCACATTAGAATGAGTCTGGTGTGTGTGTGAATGGGTGGTGGTGATGGGAGGGGCTTCTGTCAGTGTGCCCCAGGGCAGCTGTGGCTACAGTAGTCGTTTATCACCCCTGTATATGGAGTGAATCCATCCAGCCACATTCTTCCCCTTAATCCATTTCTGGGTTGGGGGGTGGCAGTCAGAGCACCAGCCCCTCACTGATCCTCCTGCAGGTGCTGAGTCCACAGTGGGGGCTTTACGCAAAGTGGGGTTAAGTGTCTTGCCCAAGGACACAACAACAGCAGTCATCAGTGGGAGTTGTGAAGTAGATCTTGTGGTGGGCTCGAACCCACAACCTTCAGGCCCTACACACTGAGCCACTGTCGCTTATTAGTTTTATTATTTAGTTAATGCTCAAATCACACTTAACTGATACTGTATCCATACCAACTCCGATGTCCCTAATTGTGATGTCTATTGCCAGATTGGAGCATAACACCATGTCCCACCGTTATCGCCGAGCCCCCTCAGTGCACGTAAATAAACGTAGATATTCTCTGTGGCTGGTTCAATGCCATCTCCACGGCTTCGTTTCAATCTGGCAGCGGCGTCTTTCAGGAGATTTTCCACTGTTCCAAATCACATTTTAAGGATCTATAACTTATATTGTGTTGAGATTGCTGCTTTCTCCTTCCCCATAAACCGTATTGTGAATCTTCTTCAACGACGCTCATTGTTCATAAAGAAGTTCTTAGAGGAGCAGGATGTTGATGCCAGAGCAGTGAAAACGTGCTATCAGCGGCGCCATCGCTTCTGTTTCTCTTCAAGTGATGATAGGGACGTCTTGAATTACATTTCCGCTTTCCGAGCATGCCACTGAAAACCATCATATATTCATGCTCCACTAAAGTGTTACCTCAAACAACCCCCTGGTTTCAAAACTCCAATATCAGACACACTGGAGAAAAATTATCTGTTAGTAGAACAGATATATGGCATCACATACTTCTTTGATCCAAACGACAAGAAAAGTTGTCCGGAAATAAGAACAAAATGCTCAGACATGAAGTAAAACTGTAAAATAATAATCAAAAATAAAAACTTGCCAATAAAAAAATATTTTTTTTTAGTATATAAATCTTACCAAGTTTTTACCTTTTTCAGTGCAGGCAATTACACTGAAAAAAATAATAAAATGTGAGGTAACAATAGCTTGAATCGAGTGGCTTTGATCCTAATTTGTGCACATTCTGATTGTATTCAAGAACTGTTTTACTTTCATTCCAAGGGAGACAATTCTTGTTTATTTTTTAAAACAAGATCATTTTGTTTTGTCCCATTGGCAAATCTTGCAGCCAGAATGTGCTGTAATTAAGATATATTTTGCCAATGTTTTGTAATTTTTGACTTATCTGTCATTACTTTTTATAGTGTAGTACTAAGGAAGATGTTCCAAAAGAAAGAAAAAACCAGACTTGAGAATGGCCTTCGCTCCCTCGAGATCCAGGGATAATGCAAAGTCATGAAGTCATAAAACACAGTCCACAGACGATATATTGGAGTGAAAGTTTTCTATTTATTCACTCACGTGGGGCTTTATGGCGGGGACAGGCCGTGGAGGGGCTAAGTGACGGAGCGCAGCAGCTGGATGTGAACCAAGGAGCCACTTCTGAAAGGAAAGCTCCAAGCCACTTAACAGTTACCCCTCCCGCTTTGTCCTAACGTGACCACAAAGCACCTGAATACAGGATACAAGCTCATGCCATAGCTGTTATGTTGGAATCTAAAATCACGTATTAGGGGTTAGACAGGTTTGAGCCTGAATCAGTCTATAATTGGTTTCTCTCGGGTCAGGAACCAGTGGCTCTATTGATGGCTCTCAGATAAATCAGTTGGTAGAGCATTGGCCTTTGGGCCTGGAGGTCGTGGGTTTGAGCCCATCTTGGGACCTACTCCAACTGCTCCCACAAATGTCTACTGTTGTTGTGTCCTTGGGCAAGACACTTAACCCCACGTTGCCTGAAGCCCCCGCTGAAAGACCAAGGCTGTGGCACCTCTGACGGAGCAGCCATCTTCCTGTGGACCCGCCCCTGCAGAGGATCAGAGGGACTGGTGCTGTGAGACTTGGGTGGGTCACTGTCACCCCCCGACCCAGAAATGGACAAATAAAAGGGGTTGAAATTAAGACAAATCTTTATGATCTGCATGTGTTATAGAGAGGAGGACAGAAACTCAAAGAGTCTCTCTTGTCTCTTTCCGGTCCCATGTATTTACAGAGCTCCCTCAGCAGCAGAAGGTCTGTTGACGCTGAACGAGCAGGTCTATGCCAGGTCTAAAACAAGGTCTGACCAGGTCTCAAACCAGGACTGAACAGAGTCTTTTAACCGAGTCTAAAAGAAGTCCGTAAACAGGCTGAATAAAGTTCCTACAAGAACAGAGTCACATAAAGGTGCTTGTTTTTGGCTGATTTCTTTGAGTTGAAAATGTTGTATTTTTTCCAACAAAAGTCCAGTTGTTTTGTTTTCTTCACCGATGTAGAATCCAACAATCGCCACAATACATGCTCTGCTTTGTGTGTTCTTCCTCTGATGGTGGAGTCTATCTATCATTAGTATTATTATTATTATCATTTGTCAATCTGTTAGATGCAGTAAACAGATACAATACATTCACATCACACTTGGAGCTTCAGTGTCATTTCTTTGGCCAGCCTTGTAGAAAAATACAATAGAATAAATACAATACACATTTCTGAGAGTCACTGTAAATCTATGAATCCTTTAAATACCTTCATACACTGTAAATCCTATTGTCCTGTGTAAAGTCTGAGCTCTTCACACGTTCAGCCTGTCGCTCTTAAATGATCTTGAAACACATCAGACTTGTACAATTGCTAACTCATGAGAAGATTATCCCTCTGCTTTGCCTCGACCTAAACATAAGGTTATTGTGGTCTGAATAAAGGGCCGTTCAGGGGTTCCTTTCAAATGGAATCCCTGGTGTGACTGTGCAGATGTGAGGAAGGACTTGAGCATGCAGTAGATCCATTGTGGCAGCAGTTAATGTGAGCTAAAAGCAGCGGAATGAAGCTGTCTGCTGCGTTTGCTTCAGTGCGCTGGGGCTTGTGGGATTCTGAAGAAAACAGGACTAAGTAATGGCCGTCCTAAGTGATGGGTGTCCCTATTTGGACTCCAACACAGCGCATGCTAACACAGTAGAGAAGTGACCAATGCACTACTCTGATCCGCAAACTCGCAGAGGGTAATGTTTTCTTTATTGTCCCTGTAGAGAAATGTGTCCGCTGCATTTGACCCACATCCACTGATCTACCCTAACCCCAACTGTCCGTGTAGCAAACATGGTCTTATCTTTCAGGAGACACAGGACTACAGATGTATATTTACACTAATGTTCCTAAGAATGCACTGTCCCTGTAATAAATAAATATTACAGTCTCTTTGTACATATTATTTATTATTTTATTTTATTTTATCTTAAATTTATTGTCTATTATCTTAAATAATAGACTTTGATGTGTGCAATCTGAGTCTTATTTCCTTTCTCTGCTGTAATGTGCAACGATGACACTGAAATTTCTCCACTGTGAGACTAATAAAGGTTTATCTTATCTTATATCAGCAGATGTTGAGGCTTTTGGTCAGGAGTGCCTACGCTGCAAAAAGTAATGAAAAATAAGCCAAAAATGACTCAAATTTGGAGAAACCTATCTTATTTCGAGCACATTTTGACTGCCTTAAAACAAGATTTGCCAATGGGAAAAAGCAAAGTTATCAAGAAATGTCTCCATTGGAATGAGAAAATAAAGAAATATGGCTTTGTCCCATTGGCATATCTTGTTTTAAGTCAGTTTACAGTCAGAATGTACCTACATTAAGATAAGCAAAGGAAGGTTTCTCACCCATCATCTGTACTTCTTAGCAAGTTTTCCCGACGTTTCGTCCTCAACCTGGGGACTTCTTCAGGGAATGAATTCTCGGACCGCGCGTTGGAGATTTATAACCTATGGGTGTGGTAAGCCACACCCTAATCCTGATACTAACTCGTAAACAATCTACGGTCTGCTTGATGTAGAAGGGAGCAGGTCTAACGACCCTGCTGAGGCTAACGAGTTTCAGAGAAACTACAAAGAATCTTTAGGCAACACAAAATCCCTGTGTATTTCAAACCTTTCAACACGTTAAGACAGAAATTAGTGCATCCCAAAGACAAAACACCCAGACACAAACA